TGATTGCCCACCGCAATAACCACAAACCAATGAAAAGGAACCACCACACAAAGCACAGGGTGCACAAAACCACCAGATCGAGCGAAAGAAAAGGGAGGAGAGGGAGAAGTATGTAAGGGTCACATGAACAACCACTCACAACCAACAATAGCCAACCGAAAACAACGCCTAGCCACCGGAGCCACGGATCCAAGGGAATCGAGAGAAGAGAAATTAGGGAAGTAATCTTAGGGCAGAAGAATGATGAGAGAGGGAGCGTGGTCGAGAGAGAAGAAACGTAAGATAGGGATCCCGGAGGTGAAATGCACAGAAGAGAGGGGCCTCGAGGTAAAACGCATATGAAGAAACGCGGGCAGTGGGGGTGAACCCACGATCACGTTTTACATAAATTTTTAATGGACGTCGACGCCACACCGCAGATTCCAAACGACGAATCTGACATTTTCAAAACGCGTCGCGGGGCAGACGTTGCCCCAAACGAACCCAGAATTATATTCCTTAATTAAAAATATAATAAATCAAGTTTATTCAACCTTTTCCCCTATAACCTCTCCCGTAAAGCCTCTACTTGTGAGAGGAGACAAAGGCAGAACTTGGGAACAACGGGAAAGAAGGTTGTTGATCTCGGTACAGAAGCACGGTGGAAAAACCGAAGAGCATAGCAAGTTTTGGGAGGTTTTAAGGTGAGAATTATTTATATGGTTGTGATGGGATTCCAATATATGCATTTAACATTCATTTAAACTAATAAATTACCTTTTATTCCTTTCATTTCTTATCGTGTCATGAGCCGGAGGCAAAACTCTAGAAATAGGAAAATGTATGTTGTACTCACAGGCAGGTAAATTGGAATGAAAAATGAATTTATAAGCGACGTATTAAAGGTAATAAGATAAGAAATCTAGATATATATTTATATGCATATACCCTTATGCTAATTTTAATTAAGCAAAGAAGTGCCATTTTTATCTCTTTCCAAATTTTGATGTCATGCAGCTGCCATGTTTGGGTAAATGGTTGTGTAGGAGGATGTGAAGGAAAAATGGGAAACATAAGGAGTTTATAAAAAATATATATCTAAATGTCAATATAATATTCATTTGGTTTTTTTTAATGAAGTTCAACTGGTCTATTGATTTTTTAGAGCAAGTTTTGGGTTATGGAAAATAAAAGAAAGGGATTTACTAATTTGTGCATATCACACATAAATGCATAAATACATTCATGCATATCATTAAAACCATAATAATTGACATGTGTTTATTGAATTGTCATATGAACACATACACTTTTGCAATAAATTATTAGCTTAATATCCTCAAAATTGAGTATATAGTTAGCAATTTGACGAAAATATGCAATACAACAGTAGTTGGTATGGCTATGTACTTGTCGTATCCCAATTGTGTTTATAGTCTAGGCTTGTGCAACATATAGCATGATTCAATGATTGGAATAATATAGCTCTATGACTGTAACAAGATGCGATCAAAACTATGATATTATTGTGTTACTGGCATCTATTTTGCCAAAGATTTTAAAATATAAAGCCTTTTGAGGATAAGTAGTTAAGGATTTATACTCTCTTTTCTACATATTATTATATAACATGTTTATTTCTTTATATTGAGTACTCTATATGCTCTATGATTAATAGTACCAATATTACTTGTAATGAAAACTAGGACCTTAATTAAATATCTTTCACTCATAGGTCTGAAAAACACTCGTCTATGATTCGAATAAAAATATTAATCGAGTATATGAGTTATCATGTTGAACATAGACGGCAGCATGTCATCCTCGAGCCTCTCTAACATACCTGTCATACATAACATAAAGAATATGCATATAGCGTAAGATTTAATTTATAATAGATAACTTAGACGCATACACTTATACATATGCCTACTTCATCTAGCAACCTATAGAGGGCATTTGCCATTCTTCTCCATTTAACTTTGACCAGCCGTCTAGTTTCATATGTGACTAGATGGTTAGGTGGCATTCATAGCCTATACATTTCTTCTTAAAAACGAGCCATCAAATTTATAATTTCTAATTTTTTATATCTTCTTCACCAAATAAGGTAAGTATATGGTCTTATTGATCAAATCATCATGGAAGCTTGAACCCAAATATACAAGTCAATAGTTGAAACCAGCTCAGTACTCACCAAGGTTAAGGTAGCCCAAATTTTTCAGTCACCCAAATTCATCTACAAATTTTTTACAATCATCAAGGTCATTTGCCTGCAAAACTTAACCACTCAACCAAATTACTTACCAATCTAACTAGGGGTTCTCATATAGACGAAGTCATCAAAGATGCTCAACCTCAACTTGAAACTTGGCAGGTGTTCTCGCCTATTAGACAACGATCAATGTTTAATACAAAGTTAAATATAATAAATTTTTTAAATATTTTTCGTGTAATTCTTTGTATAGCCTATTATTTACCACTAACCTTGCTCAATACTTACAAATATGGGTTCATTAGCCATGCTAAAGGATGTCAACTCTAGTATGTAATCCTATACTTCGACAACAAGCCACCCCGCTGATCACTAAAATTTGTTTATGTTTTCCCCTAAACATTCTCTCATTCCCCGCTCTTCGCTTGAAGCTTCAAGTATGCTTGCAATAGTCTTTTTGTTTTCTACAAACAACAGTGATCCAGCAATCTTTGTCTCAAGCTATCTAAACACGCTTCATCTTTAAAAATGACACACAATAAACCTCACCATTTTACACATACCAATAACATTAACATCATAATATCACTGACCTCTAAATAATACAAAAGTAAGCAGGTTATAGGAAAAAAAGGAACCAAGGAAGGAATAATCACGTAAATAGATGCCAACCTCAAGAGCTTTGCACACTTTATCAACCTCTGGAGCATAGTTGACCATTTCTGATGTCGTTATAAGCTCAACAACACCAACACAGGACTGACTAGAAGGTTCAAAAACTGGCAAACCAAGACTTCCCCTTACATTGTAAAGGAGAGCATGACTCAGACGCGGGTATTCTTTGCTGCTGTAGTACTGCACATTGGGTGTCCACTCTGGCAGTTTTAACTTGAAAACCCGGCCTGGAAGGCCAAGAGCCCCATCATTATCTTCATCAAATGAAAACAAGTACATCAATGACACAGTTCGATACTGAAGGAGTCCATTAGCATCAGGATCAAGCACAAAGGGCTGCTCAGATGTCGTCAGAACATATCGGTCCTCATTCCTTACAGGTACCCAAAACTGCACCAGCACATGATGATTTGTCCATTCCTTGAAATATCGTAGCGCCTGCATCATCCTCTCCTTCATCATATAGGAAAAATCAGAAACCTCTTTAATTGACGGCATTGGAGAAGACCTTATCTTGTCATTTTGCAAATTATCATCTTCCTTTTCAGAATCAGTATGTCCTACAAAAAGAATAAAGTGATTATAAACAATCAGATTAATCTTACACTACTCCTTTCCAAAATTTTAAGCTGCTTCAAGAAGACAGACTGATATTAAAACGATTAAAGCAATTATTGCCCACTTCTGTTACCTGCTACAAGTTTTATGAACAAAAAATACTAACACCATCCTGCACTAATGATACCTTAAAAAAAACCAAATGGAGGATCAACAAATATGTGTAAAGAAGGTCAAAAACATTATGGGGCTGACTGGTAACAGATTTAGTGCGGAATTTAAGTTAAGTCTTACCAGACGATCATTTTGGACAAGATCAAAGTACTGAAATGATAAATCCGGATTTCACTGATTTCAGCCGTAAATCCCATAAATCCTAAATCCCACGAAACGATGGATTTACGGGATTTACAGCGAGAGTGATTGGCATCGCGGTGGATTTACGCATAACTTTTCAAACAGTTCAAATGGATTTGCGGGATTTAGAGAATTTGGTTGTTAAACAGTTTTTCATTCAGGATTTAGTAAATTCGGATTTATAAGATTTACTAAATTCTAATAACTTAAAATAAATTCATTACCAGCATTGGATTTAAATTTTCATGACCACAAGGGAGAAAAATAAGCAACCATCTAGCCAAATAATCATAAATAATCCAAGGGTCTGTTTGGGGCAACTGCAGCTTATCCAGATCAACAGTTTATCCTGATCAGTAACTTATTTGGATAAGTTGGTTAGTTGTTTGGGGCAGTTGTTTGAAAACAATTGATTTACAGCTGTTTGTCTAAAAATAATCATTCTGCCCCTGTTTGGTAGTGTTATTTGTAACAAAATTGTATTGACAATATATTTGATACTAAAGAAGCAAAAAACTAGTACATAACTTTACAGAAAAAATATGAAGCAATCCTCACTCATCAGTGAGTATCAAGATTGATAAGAAAATGAAAAATATTATTAGAAATACAATTTAAATTATAATAATATTAATTTTGTAATCAAGACGGAGTATGTCACATGTTACAATATCCTCCAGGGATACTGTCGAACCTCGATCACTATCGGCAGTAGTATATAGAATGAGATAAGTATTCATTGAATAGGTAATTACCTGTAATTTCTCAGTCCACAAAGCCCTAAAGCATCTATTGTCCACTTCACTAGATCTCAACCCAATCCTGTGGATCCTCTTTTTAGTTCCTTCCATAATTTTTAATTCTTCTTTAGTTGATCCTACTTGTTCTTAAATTTCATCATATAGTAATCTTTTTCTGTCATTTCCTTGAACTTTGTCATGAGATTTTGTTACCCTTCATTGTTAAAATAGCTGGTGCGTCTATTGCCCAACTCGATTTCCCTTAAACAGATGTCGCAAAATATAACAGTGACCTTTCTATCCCACATGGTCGATTATCCGACCTCTTTACTCCTACTCATTGCGCTGCTAACAAATAAAAGGGAACAGATAAAACAAAATATTTCTTTCAAGTCAAAAAAAAAAAAAATCAACATCAACTTATAAACTGCATCCATAAAGCACTCAAGCAAGTATGTCGACCCAAAATTTTAGTTTTGATTTCTTTTCTTAATTTTCTCTTGCAACTAATAAACTATTTGTAAAATATTTATATATTCAACAACCCCATATCATAAGGAAGCTTGCGAGAGGAAGTGTAAGCAACCACTTCAGAAATAAAGGATTTGACAATAGTAAGGATTCCTTCAGCATTTCTCCACACCACATAATGCTTCCTTTGATTTCTTTCAATCCAAAGAAACAAACAAATAGTATAGTGAGCCAAATTTTGATCCCGCACATACGCATATGAGTTTTAAAATAAGAGAGATAGCAGCCCTCATATGTCCAAAGAAAATGCACAATTGAAAAATTGATGGTGCAAAGATTCCTTCTCATTTCAACAAAATAAACAAATATAAACATTGTGTAGCCCTTTAAGTTTAAGAGTATCATCAAGAGGAAGTAACTTATAGTTTAATTGCCAAGCAAAAGAGGACTGAGATGGTTTCAACAGAGAAATCCATAAGTTTGTACCTCAATTAATAGCAGGAGAAGGTCTTTGTTTAAACCTGAGATCATCACCTTTATTTTTATCAATACCCATAGAAGCAATGTAAGCAACACGACTAAGGAAATTCATTCTTATTGGTGGTATTGACCAAATCACCATTTCCAAAAGCTCAATTCGATGTATTGATCCTAGACTGTTCCTAAACATTCCAAGCATGCTCATACGAAAAAACCTTCAACCAAATATCAATGGAATGTACTTCATTATAAAAATGTGATAGAGGCTCAAACCATCCAGCAAACCTCATCAAAATGCACCCCCAACAAACACCAGCACACACCACGAATGCTAATCTTGAAAATCAAAATGCCCCAAATAAGTAACAATTTACAATGGATGAATCCATCTAGCACCCGCAAATCACAAAAGTAAGCTCAAGTAATAAATCATAAATGCCCCAAACAGACAAAAAAAGATGGACTTCAATCTCATCCACCGGAAAAGATCATGTAAAAAATCAAAATGTATATAATTCAAAAAGCCTAATAAAAAAACGGTCAAACAATCTATGACTTTCAATTTTGATTTTCCTCACACCCTCTAAAAATGAGAATCTCGTTTTGCACCCAAAATACGTGCATAAAATACACAGTTTAATCTCAGAAAGACCATAACAAAGGCTCCAACATTTTCGTTTTGCACCCATAAGAAACTGAGAGAAACCAAAAAAAAAGCTCCAAAAATTCATATATAAAAGTTGAATTTATTTATTGCAAACCCTAAACCAAATCCATCGACAGTCACCAAATCTGTAAAAGCGTAAATAGAAATTGCAAGCCAGAGAGCATAATATCGCACAATATAAACCATTCCACATCGATAGTTAGGAAATGTACTTACAGAGTAGCGAAGGTTGGGGGTCTAACTGCAAAGTAGGAGGAGAACTTCGAAGCGCGCGAGAGAGGGAGAGAAGTGCGCAAAAGAGAGGGTCGAGAAAGATGGGAGAGAGGGAGCGAAGAGAGATCTAGGGCAGACGATACACGAAAAGGGAGTTAGGGCAGACGATGTACACAACAGACAGCTAGCTTCCCCGCAACAGCTTCCTAAGGCAGTGCAGCTACAGCTGAAAAGCTGAGAAGCTGCAGCTGCGCCAAACAGAGTCTTAATGAAATGCAGACCTAATGTAAAAACAAAACCACCGTTTTTGCAAATGCAGCCGGAACGCATCTTCCAAACCGACGGTAAAATTTTCAAAGCGCCGCCGCAGCCTATAAGCTGCCCCAAACGCAAAAAATATTTACGAACGTAGAATTGCGTGCGTATGAAAGTTCTTTGGAGGATATTGAAGGATTATGTCGCTATTATTGGGTTAATACCCTCAATAACCTCACAAAACCCTAGAATGACAGGAAAAAGGACGAGCGCCGAACCGCGGAATGTATTGTTAGGTTATTGGGAGGTTATTGAGATGTTATTGGGGTTAATAACCCCAATAACCTGTTCTTGAGATGTTCCAATAACTTCTTAATATCACCTAATAACTAAGTTATATCCTATAACAAAATTTATCAGAAAATTTCGGTGCAACGCAAACAAACCAGGGAATTCAATGAGCTTGTTGATAAATATCCCTTGGGGAGGTGTAGGGGAAGGATGTGATAGAGTGGGATGCGGGAGACTCCGAGACGGCGAGAGGAGTAGCGGCGACGGAGGGTTAGAGAAGAAGGCGGAGGAGGCATCGAGGTCAATCAGATAGCTGGCGTCCATTGAGAGTCGATGGCACTCCCCTTCTTCCGCGACTGCAAATTCCACGAGATTGAGGACTACCAGGGCGGCGCCAAGCTTGTTACCGCATAATGATGGACGACGAACCGCAGCAAGTGTTTAAGTAGAACCTCGCGCATAACAGTATTATGCGCCGGCGGCAGTTTGCTTCACCCGAAACTTGCTATTTCACGGTAAAACACTAACTCTTATTTTTTAAAAATTTTTAATAATTTCTCAATAATTTAATTGTGGCAAAAGTAAATAGATCAATGTGATGGTTCAAAAAAAATTTTTATTTGGCTAATTTGTAAATATCAGTGTTTAGGGTGGTCTCTATATAAGTATCCCTACTAATTATTATTCAAGCTAATGGAAAATAATATAGAGAACAATCAATTATATATTGAAATGGTTCAAAATAGCTAATAAGAATTATAATTGTAGCTTAAATAAAAACTAACAAAAATATGTATGTCGATCTTCATGCAATTATGATTCAAAAAATTAATATTCTATGTCAAAAATATTGGGCAACATAAAATGGGCTGAGATTAAAGAGAAATATCTCAAAAAAAAAGTATGACTTTTATGTAAATAACAAGATGATAAAGTAGAAAAATTTATAATTAAAAATATGATCACACGAATTTTGAGGGAATTCAACGGATCTAGCTAAGTAGACACCAAAGGACTGCATCAAGATAGTAAAAAGACGAAGAAGCAAAGTGTCATTTCCTTCAGTCAGAATCATGGGTCGACCAAATGAAGTCATACTCGAACGGAAGAACTTGAAACACCTGATCTAAGGGACGGTAATCTATATCTAGTTTCCCCGACTGCTTTCGGGATTCTCCACAAAAATCGCTAAAGGTCTCCCCATTGGATATCTATCTGATCATCTATGAAGATACCTTGTCCAAAAGAGAGGTGTTTGTCAAATTAGCATGATACACCCCCTCTGTCTGATAATCTAAGTTTATCCTAACGATAAGCAGGTTTTTACAAAGGATTCTCCAATGAAGGTCGACGGAAGACCTTCCAGTGGATTGAAAAATTATCAACAACAGAAATGACAGTAGACCATCAAATGCTCCTCTTCAAGTAGTTATGAATATAAAGTAGTGCCAACGTCAGTTCCAGATACCAAAGAGTCCTAGAATCAATTTCAAATATGAAAGGGAGTAGTAATTACTCGTAACGTTTTTATTAAAATAAGAATAAACATGTAGCTTCACTGGATCCCCCTTTGATCTATAAATAAGGGGTAATTTTTCAATAATAGACTGTTAAATTTACTCTTTATGAACTTATATTGCTATGCACTTTATTCTCTCTCTCTCTCTCTCTCTCTCTCTCTCTTT